TGGTCATACAGACAGACCTGCGAATGTCCATCGCCTGAGTGTCGTCGTTGTGGGGTAGACAGAACTAACAGAGAAGAACATTTAAATTGTCCAATCGCATGTCATAATTGTGGAGAGAATCACGTATCTACTGATTATAAATGTCCAGTACTACAAGAATTTCGTGCAAAACTGATCGATGAGTTAAGAAAAAATTCTAATCGTCTCCCTCCAGACGTTCAGTTATTCATTCCCAGTGAATACAGACAATTAAATGATCGAGTAAAGAAAATCGTCGCTCCTTCTTCGTTCATCTCCACCTTTTCAATCTCAAAAGAATTCAAAATTCTATCATAACAAAAATGATACGAACGGATGGCCAAAATTGAATGAACCGATGAATACTACTTTATTACCATCAACAACTAGCGCAAATATTAATGAATCAGTAAGCTCGATGAGAGATGAATTGAACAAATTGAAAGAGAACTACAAGCTAGAGCAAGAAAAGATTGAAGAAAAATAAAAAAATCATCTCAATTCGATGAATCAGGCTTGGCTAATCCTTCAGCAACAGACAAAAACTCAGTCAGAGTTATTGACCATAATGAATGCTGCCATTGCACAATCAATCTTTCCTACATGTCAGAAAATGATTTCTTCTCTTCTATTAGTAACAAGTAAATTGAAAAGTGTAATGAAGACTGAAGAATTTGATGAAATTATTTCTAATGTTACTACGCAAATATCTTATCTGAATGACGTTCAAACAAACTATGTTAACCACCAGACATCTCTCTTACAACTAACGAACAAACAAAATGAAACATTAAGTCTAGCATTGAATTCTCTATTACAAGATGTCAGCAAAGGATAGTGAATTCAGGTATTCTTCACCAGTAATCAATCTAAATGAATTATGTAAGTTTGATGGAATGAACTGTGCGAGAGAATTACTTTTCGAAATAGTGCGTGAGTGGAATACGCTCAGTTCTCTTTCCTTGTTAAGTAAGAATTGGAAAAAAGTGAGACCCGCAAACCCTTCTGAAAATTTAAGGGTACTTTTATAGAATTGTGAAGGACTTTCCACTCACCTATCAGATTTAGAATTTCTTATTTCTTCTAACGGACCGCATCTATGTGTACTAACAGGAGTGGGCAAACTAACTAAAAAGTTACCAAAGATTCCTCTTTATAATTGGCACAGTCAGGAGAGAGGTAATAGTTTTGGAGGAGTTGCAATTCTTGATCATTATAAATTAAAATGTCAGGTTTCGAGCAGGGCAGAAAACTTTCTTTTAGTCGAAGTTGAGATTCTCCAAAAAAGGGTGAGTGTGGCAGCCGTCTACGTACCACCAAATTGTACACCACCGATAAGTGTGTTTGATAAACATAAAGAAAAAGAATTATTTTTATTTGGTGGTTTCAATGCAAAGAATAAGGACTGGAACTGTGAACAAAACAATAAGAGTGGGAATATAATAAAAAATTGGATGGAAAAACAGGATTTTCAAATTTTATCAACTACAAAACCTACTTCCAAAAAATCGAACTCCATTATCGATTTTGTTTTAGTAAAAAGCTTTGAAAACTGGCAAGTGGAGCGTTTAGACGATGGAAATTCTGACCACTATCCAGTTCTATTCTTTGCACCATTTGAAGAAGGAGAAGACGGTGTTTTTCGAAAAACAAGTTGGAAAATCGTTCACTTCTTTCTAAAAATCGTTTACGAATACTGGAATACACTAGTTTATAATCTGGATTTTAATCCTTTTTTGACATATTCTCGTTATTTCTCGCACCACTGTACGATCGATGTGGCGAATTTAAAGAAATTAAATCGTTCAGAAATCCGTGGCCGCCGTGCTTAATGAAAATAGCAAAAAGAAGTAAATAAAAGTAAACGTAAATTTAGAAAAACGAGATATCTAGGCGATTATTATAAGTTTAAAGATTTACGAGAGACTTATCAATGTGAAAAGTTAAATTTTGAACAAAAAAGGCGCGAAATAAAATTACAAAATATGAAAGAAAGGAACAACATCTGGTCCCATGTCAGAAACACTTTTTCTCCTTATTTTCCATCACTTAAAGGTGTTAAAGTGGAAGGTGGTGTTTTAAAAGATGACCAAAAAATAGTTGACAGGCTCGCAAACTTTTATGAGAAGCATTTTTCAGAACCTGAATACGATCGGAAAAATAAATTTCATCACGAATGTATCTGAGAATACAAAAAACTGTTGAAATCGCCGAAAGAACCCTTAGATAAAGTAAAATTCGAAGAAGTGCTTAGTGCTTTATAAAGTTTGCGCCAAAAAAATCGTTAGATAGCGCCAATACATCAGCGTTTTTATTGAAAAACCTTCCATTAGAATATTTAAACACGATACAATCCTGTGCGCAGAAAATGGAGATTTTTTTGAAAAGGGTAACATTCCAAAGGGAATATGTTTATCAAAAGAAGGTGCATTTTCTTTTGAAGATCGGTTAAGATCTATTTCTCTTCTTCCAAACTTAGCTAAATGGTTTGAACGTATAATGGCTGCTAGAATTGAGGCGTGGTGTGTCGAACACGGTATACAAATTGAAGAGCAGCCAGGATTTACGTCTCATCGAAGATTACAAACCCGCATTATCTCTCTCGTAGAAGGACTGAGATTAACAGTAGCCGCTTGCAGTAGACCTGCATTATGTTTGTTTATTGATTTTGAAACAGCATTTGATAAGCTGTGGTATCCTGCTCTATTTAAAACACTGAAAGCCCTGGAAATACCACTATCTTTAAGGCGAGGGATATGTGACTGGTTGCAAAACAGGTCAATGTATTTTAGTCATGGAGATGCAGTTTCTACGATTTTTAATGTTTAGTAGGAGCTCCACAAGGTTCCGTTCTTGCTGCGTTACTGTTTCGTTTACATATTCACTTTTTACCATCATATTTTATGAAGGCAATATCTCATCTATTCGCCGATGATCTTACAATTATCATACAAGGTGCGCTTGAGAAAAAATTAACAGAAAATATAAAATATCTGGAAGAACAAGCAAATTCTATTTTGAAATCCTTAGAAAAGTTCGCAGACAATTATCTTCTACCAGTAAACGTCAAAAAGACGGAAGCTATGTTAGTAACTAATGCAGTGGCAGTCCGAAACTATATTCCGCTTAAATATAAAAACGAAAGTATAAAATTCGTAAACAGTTTTAAATGTTTAGGGTTAATTTTAGATGTATTTTTTGTGCTAAATCGTTTTGCTATAATTGAGATCCAGTGTAATAAATTACTGTGTTAAATCTGATAATTTAATGTATTTTTGTTTTTTTTCCTACTTCTCTTTCTGCACTGAAGACAATGTAAAATCTTTTTCATTTGTTATCCCTTTTCGGGAACAATAAATATATATATGTTAAAAAAAAAGACATGAAATAATTTCTGTTTAACATTAATAATACAGGACAGAAAATAAGAAGCGGAGAACTCAAGCCACGCATTTCTAAAAGAAACACGAAATATTGATTTAACCTTATTTTGCTGTTTCATTTCTACGTTATTTCATTTTTCACTTGAAATTCGTGTGATTATTCCTCGAGCTGTTAAACGTCTCATTTTGTAGAGAAATGTTTGCTCTATGAATTTGTTTCAAGAAAAAGTTTAAATTTAATTGTGGCATGAAAATGAGCAATGTGGAATATGATAACTGATCATCAGTTGTACAATTGTCGTCCCTTCAGCAGTTCGTTTAGAAAACTTCTAATTTAATTTTCTGTTCGATACAACTAGATAGATTAGACATTTCGTAAATCGGAGAAATTCTACACAACCGCGTTAAAATAATTTCCCCGGATGCACCCAAAATACAGTCAGAAATAACTGTCGGTAACTACGGTGGGACAAAATGTCTTATTTAAGTAAATAGTGCATATATCGAGGTATACTCTATTTGAATCCAGGAAAAGCATACTTTCTATTTTTGGCCAAATGTTCGCCTGAATGCAGATTGTGCCTAGATAGAGAACACTCAACTGTAAGAGGCATACTATTAGTCGTATTTATAACAACAATATTTTGATCATGATGAATGATCATGAATGCAAGAAGAATCTTATACTGCCGTTCTCCAAATTCAGGATGGAAAATTTTGATTTTTTTCCAACGTTGTAGAATAATTTTTGAAACTTTGTTTTAGGCTTAAAAGATCAAAATTTTGTCTAGTATTTAATGATATGCGTCGATTAGAATATATCGTATGCTTTCTTGAAAACTTCCAAAGTAGTAAATCAAAAAATATGACTACCACATAAAAAGTGGTCTGTTTTGTAAGCATAGCCGTAAAATTAATTTATTTGCTGCCAAAATATTCAATTTTCCAAGCTGTGCAAAATCCTATGAATGAGAAAAAATAATAGCAGTTAGTGTTGTTACAAACGAGAGACCATTTAATTCTAGTTATTCTATTTTCTAAAACAAAAAGTTTGAAAAACCAAGCACACGTATTTTTTGTATAAGATTTAAAGGTAACAGTCCAGTCACAGAAACTTTTCTGTAGACCAGAATATCAGAAATTCTTTGCGCTTGCTGTTCATATGCATGAAGTGGAGGGACTTTATTATATTTAGTTTACTATTTATATTGTGGAAGTTTTAAAGTAAGCATAGCGATGTATCCTAACCAAAGCGTATCATTAAACACTAGAAAAAACTCTGCATCACTGGTACTAATCGAGTTTAACTGTTCCTTACTGTTATCGATACTAACTAATTACCGGCAAATATCAGCAACATCAATGTTTTCTCTTGTAACGTAAAGAAAAAGAAAACAGGTTTCTTAGAAGTGGGCTCTCATAACTGAAATTGAAATATTGTACTTTTTGAACATAGCCTGTTTAATAAGAAGGAAGCGTATTTACCTGCCATGCCATAACCTAATATTCGTTACTGTTCGCTTATTGTGTGATCATATTCAAATATGCAGCTATTACTTTTTCTACTCTCATCTCTGAATAAAGATTCAAAAGAAAGTTCTAATAGCTTCGACTAACTGGTAAGTCAGCTCCATTACAGATATGATCGTGCATCAGGCTAGTACCTTGAAGAGCAACTCCTACTTGTGCATTCCACATTCTCATCATAACCAAATGTGCTCCTTGTGCTGTTAATACTAAAAATATGGCTACACCATGATTAACTGTTCGATTATAATAGATGCGCATTACCGTGATAAGTTCCATACCGTAACCGAAAGTCGTTGTATTCGACATTATGGTAATGACTGTATGTTCTTTCATTGAGAATGGACCAGGATTTAATGAAAAATGCCATTTCCCTATACGCCAAATTCGTTTTGGTAATATATATTCCAGAAACTTACCAGCGGGCATCGCTAACACTTGCACAATTAATGGCCCTATTAGCAGCGGACTAGTTCGAAAAGCGAAGAATTGATTAATAACCGATATAGCACCTGTGAACAAAACCCCAAGAAACCACATTCGAAATGAATTATTCACGGTTGTTGCATCATCTGTATTAGGGACACTTGCCGCTACTTCTTCATGTGGACTCTGTTCAACAGCAGAAAATTTCATTTGAACATCAGTTAATAGATCATTATCGTAAACAAAATCTGATTCGGTGTCGAGGGATGTACCAACATTGTCACTTCTCGTTGACGCAGCTAAGTAGCTTTCGTTGTTAGAATGCATCATTTCCTACTAAGTACTATTTGAATTGGTTCAGAGAGATCAACGAACACAGATCGATTATCAATACTCAAAAGCTCAAAATCGATTCGTTTGAATTTAATGTGTATTTGCAAGATGCAGGAACGACATCAAGAAACTTTTATCAACGAGAACATTAATTTTTCGGAAAATAAATTCACTATTGTATTATTTTTAGCTTGTTTTCTTTCTTTACTACATGCGTAGATCAACAAGAATACATGAAGCGTATAAAACAGTCCGTTCCTCTTCTTATGACTAAGGAATGACGTATGAGCATTTAGATGCAAATGTAAAATTTGTTCTCTTTGTATTTTCTTGCCATCTATATTTATCTCTATATGCTCACAGAACGGAATAAGATTAAAAAGAAACGAAAGAGACCCAAAGGTTTTTCAATTCATTTCCTAAACCGTTTTGGTCAAGGACAAAATAATGCACCTGATGTACCATAAATAGAATACCTTTATGATTTTACGTTTCAATGAATACAGTACCTTGATCGATTATAGCCAGCTTTTTCGCACTACTGAAATATCTAGAAAGGAAACGAATAAGCGAGCTTCTGTGAAACAAGAATACTCACTTCTTTGTGTGAGGAAAAATGAGAGGCAGGAAAAAATTTTTGCTTCATCGGTTGTAAGGTAGACTTCACAGAAGAATTTCTATCACTTATGGCTTTTGAGTCTGGTAAATTACAAAGAAAAGCATAATATATGCGGTAAAGAGTTAAAATGTCGAACAGAAAAAGAGAACTATTCAAGTTCAGAGGTTATACGTATATGACGTTGTCTATGTTTTCACTTGTCTTATAACGAGCCGTGTACTTTCTCTCATCGAAAAGAATCTGTTCATATTGCCATATTGTTCAAAATAATGCAAATCGATGATAACATCATTATTATCATCAGAGATGTGCGGTAGAATGTTTGGTTTGTGGTAAAAATTTCGAATGCGTCGGTTAAGTACAACGATTTTTATGAGCAAAATAGGTGTCGTGACGGAATTACATTTTTTAGCTTTTTTTTTCCAGTGCTCTACAAACTTTGAAAAATGCTCTAAAACGAAACATATTCAGAAAAAGAGTCTAATATAAAAGTAGTAGAGCATGAAAAGAGCTTTCGAATCATCCCTTTACTTTCACTCAAAAATGCTTAAATGAAAAGAAACAAGCGAAATGGCTCCGTGATGGAAGTACATCATTTTTTTGCTTTCTTTTGCGGTGGGTTTTATCGTTATATTTCTACCAATAAAAAGACTTCTATAAACTTGATCTGCACGGAGCCTTATGCAATCGAGTGCCCTCTATCAAACTAAGCAAAAAAGAACGGTGGGAGAAATGTTTTTGATTTTCGTAGAATTGCTCCAAAAAAAGTACCATTTCGAATTCGGCAAACACTGGTAAAAACTTGTTTAGTGTGCAAAATGCGTTTTTTAAGGTTGTTTCGACAAAGTCAATAGTGCATTTTGTAGAAAATTTAATTCTTTATCCACTGATATACTTTCTAAAACTTTTTAAAAAACTAAGTAGGTCAGAAAATTAAAATAAAAAAAACTTCTAAATTTTAAATTTGAATTTTCGATTTAAAAATTTGAGTTTCATTCGTTTTGAAGTTGATATTCGTAATCAGCGCAAAAGACTGCGTCTAATGATGTGCGTTTAAGGCTGGTTTGAGAGAAAAAATATCGCTCAACCCACCGCAGCTGAGGATGACAGTTACGCGTTTTAGCCGTGGTGCAAGTTAGCTGATGGTACCTTTTATGCTGCATATGTCTTAGATGACGGAAAACACAGCTGAGTCTAAGTAGAACATTACATAAGTCATCAGTGCCGATACCGCTTTAATCCCTAGTCTCAATCCCGTTCATTCCTTCAGAAATTCTGGAAGGATCTTGTCAAGTTTTATTCAAGATCCTGTTCCTAGTAATTCCTGTTTCCAGGATTTTTCAAGGTTAAACAGGATCCTGTTCAGAATTTCTTCAAGTTCCTGCTCACGTCAGATATTTTTCTGAGTTGAGAATACAGGATCTTACCAGGATTTACTCTAGATCCTATCAAGGATCCTCACACGTTTATAAGAGAGGATTCTGCCAAGATTTTATTAGTTTTCCGTCAAGATCTGAGCCAAATCTTCATATCAGGATCCTGTTAGGGGTGATAGCCAAATCAGACAACGGTTTTTGCAAGAAAATTACCAGATCAGTCAGAATACGAAACTGGCTAGTCCTGCAAAGCTTCAGACAGGATCTCGTTCAGAACTTTTCAAGAATATCCGTTTCCAGACCTTGCAAGACAATTTCAAGCCTAATAAGGATCTTGATGAAACAATATAAGGGTTTAGCAAAGATATTTGCAGGTTACTGTTTAGTCTACTCAGCCGTGTTCATTTCTTCAGAGAACCTAGAAGGATCTTTCAGCATCATAAATGTCAAGGATCATGTCAAATTATTGATCGTCCAGGATTTGTTTAACCGATAGAGTCCCCCAGACGAACTAGATATGCTTTAATTAAACTGAATAGTAATATTAATTAGTCTAGGCATAAGTGGTAAAAAAATATAAAGATTATTTTTCTTTGCTTTGTCTTAC